ATTAGGATAAAGAAATACTTACCTATTAGAACAATAAAACCCTAACCTAAATAAAATAGGAAACCTTTAAAATAAAATAAACTATAATTTAACACAATTTATGCATGCACCTGGACCGATTCATTTTGAAGCTGCCTATAGAATCTTGAGATATTTAAAAGGAACTCCTGGAAAAGGTATTTTATTCAAAAAGAGTAATCATTCTCAAGTAGAAGTGTATACTGATGTAGACTGGGCTGGAAGTGTTACGGATAGGCGATCTACATCCGGTCACTGTTCTTTAATTGGAGGAAATCTAGTTACATGGCGAAGCAAAAAACAAAATGTGGTGGCTAGGAGTAGTGCTGAAGCGGAGTTTAGAGCTTTAGCCCATGGAATTTGTGAAGGTATATGGATAAAAAGGATACTTGAAGAATTGAAGTTTCCTCAGACAACACCTATACGAATTTATTGTGAAAATAAGACTGCCATATCTGTAGCTCATAATCCAGTTCTACAGAACAAAACATATTGAAGTTGACAAACATTTCATTAAAGAAAAGATTGATACAGGTACAATATGTACTTCTTATCTTCCAACAACAAAGCAAGTTGCTGATGTACTCACCAAGGGACTTCCAAAGAAGCAATTTGATAAACTAATCAACAAGCTGGCCATGGAAAACATCTTTAAACCAGCTTGAGGGGGAGTGTTAAAATATATAAACATCTATTAGTTGTCTTTTTAAATCTTTATACCTTTTATTTCTTTTCTTGTAGTAGTAAGGTCTCCTATTCCTTTATGGGGTAGGTTTCCTATTCTTGTTGTAGTAGGTCTTTCTCCTATATAAGAAGACCTAAGTTGCACAATTTGAGTATAGAAGAATATTTTTTATTCTCTTAAATTTAACATATATCATGAATTAACTTGCACAGTGGCTTTGTAGATGCGGCTAATCAGATGAGCATGGTTTATTTCTTTGCTTTTTTCCCTTCAAACTTTTAATCAGATGAGTATGAATATCAAATGAAAATGGTTGCAGCAAGTTGCACGAAGAAGTCACTTTTGGGTGATTAAATCTTCCTTTTACTCAGGATATCTGAATGCTAAAGTTTTGTTTGATGCGTATATAAGTAGGTCTTTCTCCTATATAAGAAGACCTAAGTTGCACAATTTGAGTATAGAAGAATATTTTTTATTCTCTTAAATTTAACCTATATCATGAATTAACTTGCACAGTGGCTTTGTAGATGCGGCTAATCAGATGAGCATGGTTTATTTCTTTGCTTTTTTCCCTTCAAACTTTTAATCAGATGAGTATGAATATCAAATGAAAATGGTTGCAGCATGTTGCACGAAGAAGTCACTTTTGGGTGATTAAATCTTCCTTTTACTCAGGATATCTGAATGCTCAAGTTTTGTTTGATGCATTTTTCCTTTTCGTTTGCCTTTTATTTTGCAGATCCTGGAAGGAAAATCGTATAAACTGCAGTTTCCTTGGATTGGTGTTGTTAATCGTTCACAAGCTGATATAAATAAAAGCGTTGATATGATTGCAGCTCGTCGTAGAGAGCGTGAATATTTTGCTACTAGTCCAGAGTACAAGCACATGGCTAGTAGGATGGGTTCTGAACATTTAGGGAAGATGCTTTCAAAGGTACAAATTTTTCCATTGGGTTTGAATTTTCATTTGAATTATTCGATTTTGCCTTCTTTGTATGTTTTATATGTATGACAACATCTTATAATACTTGTTTCACCTTTTTTCAAGAACAAAGAAGATTTGGAAAACTGTTCCATTTTTTCTCTTTTGAACTGCCAGTAAATTATTCCTTATTCTGACGTTTGCTAGTCTTGTTTGGTTGACTAATTTGAAAAATGTGGGTGCCAAAAAAACAAATAATAATAATTCAGCATCTGGAAACTGTCATCAAGTCTAGAATTCCAGGCCTTCAGTCTCTTATCAACAAAACGATTGCAGAATTGGAGGCAGAATTGAGCCGTCTTGGAAAACCTATTGCTACTGATACCGGAGTAAGAATTAAAATTGTCTATTTTTTATTCAGTTTTGATTCTTTTGAAGCCATTTTTTCTGCTGCAACTGACTAACAGAAACAAGTGCCTGGTAGATGTGATTTGCAGTTTTTCTTGTACCGTCTTGAATGTTTGTGAAAGGGATTCTCACACGACTATGCAAGTTTGGAAATGTATAAAATTAAAAAAAAAAAATTCTTAGACAAACATAATGGAACATCTAAATGAATCTATAACATGTGTGAAAGAATGATCACTTTATCTTGAATAATATACATTTTTCTTCCTTTTCATATTTTTAAATTTTTAATGAAAAGTTTGTTTCTTGTTTAAAAAAAAAATATATACTTCATTAAGAATTCGCTAATTCAAAAATGAAACCAAAAAAACGAGAGAGGAGACAACTGAATGAAAAAGAAAGACTTGTGGTAAAGAATCATAGGATATTTAGTAAACCGGTGTAGTTCGTAGATTTATCTTTTTCAACCTCTTTCTTTTTCCATTCCTGTATGGATTACAAGCTGTTTTTAAAAATATTATGTTGTATGAAAGAACTTGTAACGTTGCATCCCTCCAATCCCTCCAAATGCAGGGAAAATTATATATGATCATGGAAATTTGTCGCACTTTTGATCAGATATTTAAAGAACATCTAGATGGCGTGTATGTATATGTGATTCTCAATTGCTTATTCTGTTATTTATAAGTGGTTTTAATTATATCCATGATGATTGCCTTTCTAACTGTATTTGATCCTCCAGACGATCAGGTGGAGACAAAATCTATGCTGTGTTTGACAATCAATTCCCAGCTGCTTTAAAGAGACTGCAATTTGACAAGCATCTTTCCATGGAAAATGTTCGAAAGATAATAACAGAAGCAGATGGATACCAACCTCATTTAATTGCACCGGAGCAAGGGTATCGCCGGCTTGTTGAATCTTCCTTGGTAACCATTAGAGGTCCTGCTGAGGCAGCTGTGGATGCGGTAACCCTCTTTACTTAGCTCATCATAACTAAAATGGGGGTAAGATGAATCTATTGGCAGGGAGAAGGTGTTGATGGGTGGTTTACTTATGCCTGAAGAACGGAATGACCTTGTACTAGTGGCAGTTAGTTGAGGCTAGTTGTTAGTTATTTCTGTTAAGGTGTGCTTTTTGGAAGTTGAGTGACAATTGTATATTAGGAGAAATGGAGTTGAGAGGGGAAATAGTTCAATTCATGCGTACAGGAGAATGGCAGGCACCTCTAAAACCTATTGAATAACTAGAATAATGTTGATCGGGAATTTCCATCCTTATATACATTATACGAATGGAAGGAATTGCATTGAAATAGTTCAATGCTCTAGGAATGAAAATTGTATGGATTTTATGTGAGTATTGTTTGAGGTGGAGTTATTGTCTCCCACGTTGTAATGATGGTGGCAAAAGTTCAGTAGGAAGTTTATAGAGGTAATTAGGTTGTAGCTTTTACTTGTCTAACAAACAGATCAAGCCTATTAACAGGTCTCCATGGTTGCTTTTCACTATTGCAAGATGTAATGAATTAGTTTTTTTATCATTATAGTTTTGATGAAATTTATAAAATTGTGGCGACAAGTCTGTGCATTTTTTTAATTCTCTCATAATTTATTGGCTTTCTCTTCTGTCACCATATTATATTATTTTCTATATACCTCCTTGCAATAGTATCATTTTCTATTTAAGCAAATACGCCTCATTTGGTAACTTAGCCTCACGTTATATCATAAGCCACCTTTTTACTTCTGTAACAAGGTCATTCACCCTATATCATGTTTTTGATTTGCTGCAACCACGTCTTTGAGCATCAATTTATCTGTTTCAACAACATAGGTAGATTTTTTTTATCAACCTAACTTTGCCCTCCGTTCTGTGTCAGTTTAGTTAATTTCTCATGTTTGACTATTTTGTTATGTGGAAAAAATAGCTGGAGATGTTATGCAACTCTTGCACTTAAAGACCTCAAGTTTATTCTGACCTCACAAGTTTTTGGAAATGTGATGATGATACGAGTACTTAACCATTGGCATTATTTAAATTCCTCCAGTCTCTAATTCGTAGTAATTTCTTAGCTATCGTGTTTTGTCGAAGGGTTTTTAATTATTTAATTTCTACTCGATTTTTCTTAATTTTTCTTCCACACCTATATTTATAACTGCAGGTTTTTTCTCTTCTCAAAGAGTTAGTTCAGAAGTCAATCAGTGAGACTATGGTGAGTAGTTAACCATGCTCTCTCTCTCTTTTAATTATAGAAGACCGACTTATTTTCCTTATTTCCCTTTGTTCTCATTTAGGAATTAAAGCAATATCCTACTTTGAGAGTGGAGGTTTCAAAGGCAGCTATCGACTCATTAGAGAGGATGAAGGAAGAAAGCAAGAGGGCCACCTTACAGCTAGTGGATATGGAATGTGGTTACTTAACTGTCGAATTTTTTCGCAAGCTTCCTCAAGATGTTGAAAAGGGTGGAAATCCAACACATTCAATTTTTGATAGATATAATGATTCTTATCTTCGGCGAGTTGGTAAGCAGAAATTCCGAACTAAAATGACCTGTACACTATAGACTAGACCCCATCAATCCTAAACTAAGATGAATGCCAAATGTTTTAGGCACCATCTGTTTAGCATACTATTCTTTTTAGCACAAGACATGAATTATTGGTGACCTCTAATTCTCGAGTCGATATGAACTCAAGGACTTTACTTTGAAAAAAGTGAATAGTGTAAGCACTTGAAGTAGTTTGTTTTATGGCAATTAAGGCTTGCCCCTTCTTTGCAGGATCCACGGTGTTGGCCTATGTCAATATGGTTTGTGGGACTCTGAGGAATTCAATTCCAAAATCAATAGTATATTGTCAAGTTCGGGAGGCCAAACGCAGTTTGCTCGATCATTTCTTCGCAGAATTGGGTACAAAGGAGGTAAGAAACTCTTCATCTTGTGTCTCTCCACATTAAATAGCAAATAAACAGTATCCCTATGCTTTTAGCACATTCTTTTCAATTTAAACTCTACATTTATTAAAGCGTCATTGTTGCCTTTACGCTTTGGTTAAAGCTTATAAGACATTGAGAGAAACATAAGTTTGAACATTGCAAGCTATATTTGTAGATGTCGCTAATGAGCTCGATGAGGTGACATTTTGTTTTAGTGACATTGGAGTATAGCAAGCCAATTGGTTGAGAAACATGAATTTAATGAAGCTTTTTGAGCAGCATTATGTCGATTGAAAGTCAAAAAGGAGTTGGAACTAATCTTATTTTAGAGTGCAATTAATAATTATTGTCGGATTTTTGTGACCATAAAGAATTATTAATTGCAGTGTAGGTAATATTTTAGACTTTTCTTGATTTCCAATAATGGTAGGGATGCATTTAGTAAACTTTAATCTGAATAATGATATAAGGATCCTTATGGAAGATGAGGAAAAAATTAAAACTCAAGTTCAAAAGGTCTACAATCGAATTTTACCTATATAAATAGGAGTTATTCTTTTGGATTGAAGACTCTTTAATTAGGTGGGCCTCCGTTGGTATTCCCTTATATTTTCCATTTTTCTCAATGAAAAACTCGATTCTCAAAAAAATAATAATAATAAATAAATAACCTATATAAATAGGTGTACAAAAACTGGGAACTGCAGTTCTTTCTAATTTTTCTTTTTTTTTTTTTTTGCACAGTCTAGACAATTAGGAAAAATGTTGGACGAGGATCCCGCCATCATGCAACGCCGAACCTCAATCGCGAAAAGGTTGGAGTTGTATAGAAGTGCCCAAACCGAGATTGATGCAGTTGCTTGGGCTAAGTAGAGAGAGACTCAATCTAACTCTATTACTTGAATGCTTTTTCTTAATAATTAAAATCATTGAGGCAAAAATCTCAATTCCCTTGCCTTCCAAAACCTCGGAACTTGATAAATTTGGTTTTGGTGATAAGCTGGTACAAGCTGAATCCCTTCAATTTTGTTGGCAAAAGAGAGAACAATTTATGTCTCATCTGTGACAAGCTTGAGATTACACTTCTATAATTTTTCAATTTCCTCATGTAGTTAAAATTTTTCTTAGTTGTTATAAGCACTTGTCATTGAATTCATTTGTTCATAGAAGCCTTTGTGCCAGTTGTATTTTTCTGTCAATTAATGGATTTGCTTGCATTGATTTTGTTCAAAGAATGAAGCTTTTGATTTTCCTTTGCATTTTCATTGTATAATCTTTGTATAAGACCTTTGACTTTGTTTAGTATTGTTGTACAATTGTACTTTTAAAAGAGCAGCTATTGCAAAATTAAATATGAGAACTTGGAATGTTTGATGCTGTTGATTAGGGTCTGTTTAATAAGGTTCCCATTTTTTGTATATTGTTCCAATTTTGTTAAGAACCTAAGTGACAACTATTTATGTTTGTTGCTTTTCATTGTTTTAGAAACATTCTCAAAATTGTATAGAAATTTTGAAAACAACAAAAACAAGTTTTTTCTCATCTCCGTTCTTGTCCAAAACGTAAATAAAAATATTGTTTATTATTGACTTATAATATGCATAATAAATATTAAATAATAATAATAACATAAGAATTTTGAATATTTAATTTAAAAATTAAGTTTCATATAAAATTTTTACTTTCTAAATTTAAAAGTTAATGGTTACTGACTGTTAGAGTATGTATATTAAAATATTTTATATTATTTTATATTATTGTAATAATCTGTATTAATTGTCCTTTATCGTTATTTTACCTTATTTACTAAGGTTAACCTTGTATTTTTGTTTATATATATTCTTCGAATGATACCAGAATCATCTGATTCTCTAAAACCTTAATCTTTACACTGGTCTTTTCCTAAGTTTTGTGAATTGAGAATTTTTTGAGCCTTTAGGGTTTTGAGGTTTGAAAACTTAATATTTTGTATTTCTGACTGTCGCCACTACCACAACAGTCGCTCACCGCCACTACCGCCATCGTCGCCACAATCGGTGCTTCTAATGTTGTCATCGCCAACTGTAAGTCTCTAATTCGTGGTTCACAAGTTGTTTTGAGTTTTTGTCCTTGCTCGTCGTCTAAGAAGCACAGGCACGGACACGCGAACACAAACATGACACGGCGTCACACCAATTTCTAAGTTGGGGACATGTTAATTTTTTTTAATATATATATGTGCATATTTCAAAATATTATCATTATTTAATACTTTTAAAGTAAATTTTACATTTAAACATTAACATAGATACTGTAACATTCCTACAATAATCAATGCCAACAATATCAAATATCGAATAAAACATTTTTTCCATACAAAAACTAGAAATTAAAATCAAACAAGTTTCTACACATTTTCTCTAACATTGTCATCTTCTTCATTCATTTGACTCCTAGTAAAAACTACATGATGTAACTAAGAATGTTTGTTTTAGTTAGTTGGTTAGTTAGAACATCCTTAGTTATAAAGTTTGTTAGGCTTTAACGGTTATGTTAAATAGTATGGCGACTAGCTTCTCAAGTGGGTGGCTTGGTAAGCAAGCTACCTTCAGCATCGGTCAAATCCCTATCAATAATAGGCCAGAATGGTGGGGAAGGATGTCCTCCCTACTTCAATGGAAAGGGGGGAATCACCGTTTCACAGCCGCTCCTCTACAACTACCTTTCGCCCAACATGATCACGAACGAAGACAAAGAATTGCGTAGATAGAAGGACGAAAGGTATTTTCTCTTTCCTTGTAATTTTGACAGCCTTCCTCAAAGGAGGCTACTCTATTTAATTAAATGGCATTGATTCATTTAACAAAAAACTCTCTCATTGGTTTACACCTATCAGAGCACAAAGATTCTTGGACTAATTTTTGTCATAAAATCTCCCACCAATACCGTAGGAGATACTTCTTTTGTCGGAAAAGAGGTGGATCAAACCACTGCCCTCTCACCACAAGCCACAACCAAATTCTTGCTATCGATTGAAGGAGCTATAGAAGATATCCAAAGGAATGTAGGTGAGATACAACAACTTTTGAGTAAAATATCTTGGCGACTCGAAGATTTAAACTTGCAACAAAATCAATCAAGATTTGGCCCAGAAGAACAACGAAGAGGACAAGGCATTAAAATTCTTCAACACCAACCAAGAAGATTCTAAGAACCTATTTTTGAACCAAGAATTCTGCAAGAACTACGAGCTAATTGGCAAGAATTCAAGAATTCAATCGAAATCTTTTGTTTCAAAGGAGAGACGAAATACATTAAGATTCGTCAAGTGAGGAAGATGAGATCCTGGATTTGGTGGAAAATAGACGATTGATTAGACCCAACCAACCACAATTTTATGATACAAAAGGTAACGACAATAATCTTCATCAAGAACGAAAATATCAACCTATATTAACAACAAGACGACACCAAGAATAGAGAAACTCATCCACAGAAAATACTTTGAATTTTTTCCACTACGATAGGCCTTAAAAATGCAAAATGGAAGGATTATTGCTTCAAGAATCCAACTTTTTCAGCAAAGAAGAGTGTTTTTGTCGGTTTGTAGATTATTTTGATGATATTGAAGAAGATTTCTGACTGGGATGTTTTTGCTGAACGCACGCGCTAAGCGTGGTAACAATTATATAGATGCAAGCGCACACCTGTCAGAGTAATATAAAATGGATGGAGTATCCAAGTATCGATCCTCAAGGACTTCTAAACAATTTCCAAACTCTGAAGTTTTAAAGAATAGTGAATGTTGAAATGAGTGATTCTTGTAAATGGGAAGTGGTCACAAATAATGGTTTTGGATTTGGGATTTGGACTTATAATAATAAAACCTAGCCCGATTTACTTCAAGTTAGCCAACAAAGAATCAAGGACACGCTAAGGATAATATGCATTTTACTTTAGAAACTAACGACTACGCTTTTCACTTT